GAAGTAACGGTAGGGACAAGGAAACGCGCAGAAACGATTCCAGAATAATACATATATAAGTATAAACTAAGACTTAATACAAAATAAAATTGTAATGCAATGTTATTAATTAAAATAACAAAACCCATTGCTTTGATTGCGGCAAGTCATTAGTAAATAATATTTTAGAGAAACTCAGCTATAATGTTTTTGTATGTTAATAGCTAGTCACATTGATATAATTAAGAATTTTTGTTTTTATTGTCCCTTACATGTTTGGTTAAATTTTAACTTTTTGTTAATTTTATGCATTTTAAAACTTAGACCATTTCAATATTTTAATGGTAGGTTATAAATTCATTAATAGTACTATCAATTTCAACATAATACTTTTATTTCATTAGTGGATATCTACGCTAATTTATTTAATTCAGATTGCGCACTGAAGAGAATAAACAATCAACAAACTACTACCATTAGATGTAATGATTAACCTTACATTTATTAAGTGTTATGTATTCAAAGAAACATGCAACTAATATAATTTCAGAAAATTATTACTATTTATAACCAATGATAATCCTCATAAATGTTTATATATTTATATTGATAAATATAATAAATTCTTAAAACGCTCACCTATAAAACGGTTTAATAATAAGTGTTACGGATATTCTTTATAAAACCACCGAACTTAAATTTCAGTTGTAACTTCACCAACTACCATAACCTATTAAATATCCGATGAATTTTTATAGTATTAGATTGAATAATATTAATGCAAAGTACGTGTACAAACGTCGTGGTGTCCTGGAAGCTAAGATCCGCTTTTCATGCAGGAGGGCGCGGGTTTGAAACCTGGCAGGTACCAATGTGATTTACCCGAGTTATTTATACTTTCTATTACTGTTTAGATACCACTGACATGTGGTGAGAGTGGTGAACATTGTGAGGAAAGCAGGATTTATAATTTGAAATCGTCAATCTGCCTTTAGCAAGCCAGCGGATTGATTAAATACTATAACTTTCATTATGTGACCCTTTGCTCTAATAGGCGGATTATGATGATGATGATGATGACGTTTCCAATGTCCATACTTAAAAAGCAATTCGCATGGTTAAAAATATGGTAATAGAGTTTGACAAATCAATTTTGAGGAGTAATATTAAAAACTGTAACAAATTCTAAAATAATTTCATCCCTTAAACTATATTTTGAGAAAGAATAGAAAAATATTATCCCTCTTAAAATAGTAATAAGTAAATTGAACTCTTTATTACTCTGACGGCTGTATCGTTTTATTCCGGGACTTGCACCCCCTAAATTATTAGGTCTATTGCCAAAGAAATAAAAACAATATACGTTTTTTAGCCTATCAACATTTGTATTTAATTAAACTATGTATAAGAATTGGTATCACTTCGTTTAGCGTTAGCCGAACTTTAAAGAAAATGTTACTCTTGCGCATGAAATAAAAGGGTTTTCGGTATAATTTTCCACAATACCGTTTTGACTCTAAAATCTTACCGAAGTATTCCATTACAGCCCTCTTTTATGATTATGCAGAAGAACCATCGACTTTACATCACAAAATTTTAAATCTATAATAAAATAACTTTCACCAGAATATACTGCGTCGCATAATTTATTTTATATTATCTATACCTTCGAGGGGTCATGATTCTTACTCATTGAAATTTTATAAAGACACTATAAGCTCCATATTATTAAGCCACAAGTTTTAAAGCCTTTAACTAAATGTAAGTTTTCAATAAAAAATGTTGTGATATTTACAGTGTCGTATCCTTTTAGTCATCTCTTAAACTTTTGCCAAATTATTAAATTCTAATAAATTAATGTATATCAATAAGGAGTTTTTTTTTACTTTCGGCTGAGTAGTGCTAACTGCCATTCCAACTCTAAAACAAGCTCAAATTATGATTCGAAGGAAATACAACGTATCTACGAGCAAACTATTTCAATCATTTCATGAGGCAGGAGGACGCGTATTGTTTCATCCGAAAGCGAAGAAGGTCTACAAGAATAGAATGGAAGCCCCAGTTCCTCTGATCCTTCGGTGATAGAAATTGGATGCAGAAATTAAATTATTTCATTCCTGCGTACATTCTTAGGAGTATATCCTGTAGAATATTAAGTGGCTGACTACTTTTTGCCTTTGCTCTAGGCTGAATAGATTGGATTTAACAAAATTTAATGTATATAACAAAATTTAACAAAATTTAATGTAAATAATGCTAATCAATAATCCTTTTCGCACATCTCCCCCCTAAGTCCAAGATGTCCAAATGTGATAGCAGTGTTTTGTATACAAATAAAAGTTGTGTTAATAAAGAAACTGAAAAGTCGGAGTCCAAATGAGAGGACTCTCCTTGGCAATGAAAAGCCACGCTTGCTTTTTGATGGTGTTGAGTTGCACAAGTTTTCATCGCCCCTTTCTGAGACTACCTAAAGTGTGAAATAAACACAAAGAAAATATTAAAATCCATTCCAAATTATAAAGTACGCAGAAAAATAATGGTTTCCAGAAGCAACAATCTGTTATTTAAATAATATTTGTATCAACTGGAAACTTTGTTTCAACAAAATTTGTATAATCTGTAAACGATATAATATAAAGAAACAAATGAGCACAACAAATGTAGAAATTAAGTTATGGTGTTGGGTAGACTCTTTAAATGATTGGACAAATAACATTCTGACAAAAAAAGGATAAAGGAGTTATTTGGAAGCTGGGAGTATTCTTTTCTTCATGAATTTAAAAATAATAAGGAATGTTTTTTCGACTCTTCAGAATATATATTGTTATCGTTATGTATATTAATTACTATATATTTATGTTATCCCATTTTTTTTTACTTGTCTTTGTATCATTTTCCTTATATATTTAGATTTAATACTTTTGAGCTTGTTATAATTAATCGTAAATAAGGCATCCACGACACAAGCTTGCTTAGTGTGGACGCCCCTGGAAATCGCGCGAAAGGTTTAAAATGGCATATGTTCTATATTTTGTGCAAGTTTCTGTTTGTTGATAATAAACTTTGTAAGCATTGTAAATAAATAAATATATTCCAATAAATATTGCCTAAGTAATAACTGTACCAAATAATTACAAAAGAAAAATAATTTCACTCATAAAATATTTAAAAATGCGTATAAAATATAAGACACGTGCGAACATACATATGTATATGTACAACGGCGACCCTTCAAGCTGTTAAAAATATGAAGTGAAGCAAGGCCAGCTTCATTCCATATTTTTATTCATCAAGATAATGGATTGTTGGCAACAAGATCAATATTCATCACATCTCGTGTAAATCCAAATATGCACTTCCGTTTCTGATCCTGATTGGCGAGTTGGCAACAAATTTGAAGACTTGCCAATATTTTGTTTTGTGTTCCTATTCAATTAAATGTTTTATTAAAAAGGGTCATATAATTATGTTATGCGCATCTAGTATAGCAAAGCAAAATTAAAAAAATATAGGTACTAAGTTATCATAGACAAATATACATAAATGTTATATTTATCATTTCCTGCTCATTTTATCAACAATACAAGGACGGATTTAAGGTTACATAATAAGGCTTGGTTTGTTAATTTATTTAACGTATTTAATGTGCCGGTAATCGTTATTTTTTCACTATAAGGAAACTCCTATTTAAAAAATTGAAATAATTTTATATTTTGTTTCTATTTCAACAATTCTATCTATATCTGTAACATATTTATAAATAATAAATTATAAAATATTATATTTCTTTATTCAAATTGATTGATATGACAAAACATAGACTTTCCATTGAGCGATCATTAAAGTTCTCCTACATTTTCTCGGATTAAAATCATATTTGATCTGAAAGTAATACAAATAAATTAAAAAATATTGTTCTCAAATATATTTTTAATTTATTTAGCCTTTTTCAAAAGAATATATCAAATAAACGCTTAATGCTAAAGTGAAATGCTCATGCTTATAATTTACCAATATCATCATAATACATAATATGTCTCTTACAAATAAATTTACTTGTGAAAATAAGATCTGATTTAGTTATTTTACTCTAACGCGAGTGGTATATATTTGTTGTAATGATTTTACAATAATTAAAGAATTAATTGAAATTTTATTAAATAACCAAGACGACAAAAATCCCATTTGTGCTATTCTCAGACTTAGACTTAAAAATAGTAGTTTTATTTTAGAAAATAAATAATAAAAACCTTTATTTCATAAATAATTCAGAACTATCATGTCTTAAGCAATAAAAGTCCTGATATAAAAGAGTCAACTTCGCAGAAGATTTATTATTCTCACTTTCTTTTTACATAAATTTATTTGTATACTTACACTGTATTTAGATAAACAGGTGATGCTTCACTTTACGTATCCCTTTTGGTAAAATTTAAAAATATATATACATATAAGCGTAGTTAAAAGAGGTACATTATGGTTTATAATACTATTAGATTTCTCTAACCCAAACATAGTTTTCTTCTTTATAACATTAGGAGTGTCTGAGTTTCAATTCAGTTCCAGCACACATTCTATAGAAACAGACCTTAAAAAAATTCCAAGTAGGGTTAGTAAACATTTTAATTTTTTTTAGACTATAATTGAATAAAGTCTGTGGACCCTTAACAAAATTTATTTTGGTACTTATCCTAAAATTTTAGAGTAGTATAAATTTTTAATGAAAAAATATATATCTTGGGATCCTAGTTCTTTCAGTTTGAACCAACAGTTTTACGTTAAAAGTACTTAGTTCAGCTTTTTCCTACAATTTTAACATTATAATATTTTTAATTCGAAATAACTTGTATTTATAACCATTTTAAATAATGAGAGCAAAACTGTGAAAAGCTCTTGAGAAACTATTTCCACTAAAAATCTAAACCAAGTTTATTTTTGAATTCAAAAATGTTTTCGTTTTACTATTTATATATTCGTGTTAATTAAAATTTTTGGTAAGGATTTTCCTAAGTAGTCGTACTTCATTCTCTCTTCTGCAATGTTACATTAAATCCATCTACAGCTTTCATCATGATCTCAACCTTGACTCTTATATGAGGTATGGGTGAGGGTTCTGGTTCTCCTAGTACTTTATACTTTCGAAGTATTGTAGATAAAGCTGTTTTGATAGACATCAGAGCATATTGGTATCCTAAAAAGTGTTTTTATAAAAAAATAAATGAATTCATAGCTATGTTCACATTAAGAAAAACCAAAAATACTTACCGAGACAATTACGTGGTCCACCGCTAAAAGGTATATAGCTGCCATTTGTCACTAATTTAAAGCGCTCTGGTAAAAATCTATCAGGGTCGAAGTGCTCAGCGTCAGCACCCCAACACCTAGGATTTCGGTGGACGCCCCAAATAGATAACACCGCTCCGCTACCCGCCGGGAGACAGCTTCCTGTTGCTAAAGAATATAAAAACAATCGTCAGTGAAAAATCTTCAAGAAGAACATGTTTTATAAATGAAAACTTACGTAATTTTATTTCTTTCTCTATTTTCCTTATAACAAAAGGTACCGGAGGATATAATCTCAATGACTCTTTAATTACTCTTTCTAGATATGTTAATTTATTTAAATCTTCACTTTCTACAGGACGATCAGAATTTCCTAAAATCTCGTTTAACCTGTAAATATATGAGTTATATTAAAGTGTTAACATACAAAATAAATATCTTTAGCACAAGGAACTTTATTTTTAGGTCTACTTACTCCTCATGTACTTTATCTTGTATCTTTGGATATTTTCCTAACAATATAAGAGTAAATCCCATTGCTACAGCTGAGGTGTCTGTAGCTGCCACAATTAAAGTTAAAATTTCTTCTCTTAACTCTTCATTTGTTAAACCTTGACTTCCACCAGAAAGATTTATTAATAATTCAAGAAAAGTTTTTTTTTGGAAATCCTGAAGATCTGCAACATATTATATGTATTTTATATGAAAAAAATAAATCTTAATAAGTTACACAAAAATATAACGTACCAAAATGATGACACTCATTCTGTTGTTTCGTTTGGTCCTTCTGCAATTCTATCGCTTTCGTTTCAATAACCTGAAACAGGGGTACTCGTATATTTTGGTATGGTGGTTATCATTTTATATTGAAACGTATTTACAAAAGTTTCATTCATTCTAATTGCAGTTAAACTACCAAAAATACCGTATCTAATTATACATAAAAATGACTTTTTTATTTTAATTCTGGTTTATTAAACATTTTTTTTCAATTTATATAAAAATTAAAAAGTATTTTTTAAACAATGTAATTAAAAGTAATTACTTTTATTTAGTTTATTTAGGAAAATCTTATATTTTTCGTCTTTATTTAATTATTGCGTCACATTCAGGGGTGTTAGATGATTAATAAAAGACAAACATGTGATATACAAAGTATTAACTCACGAGACGGAAATTATAATAAAATCAGTCAAAAAAGTTCAACTCCATTCTCATGTTTTCTTAGAAAATTAAGTTAAAGGCCACTGCACAAACCTTGTCTACAAAGCTATGTAATGATTTTATACACTTTTCATGGACAGAATGTATTGGGAAACACTTAAAAAGCCAATCCGGATGCCACCACAAACGAAATATTCTCTCACACATGATATTGAGTATTGTTGCCATCGAATTAAGAAATGGTGAATAAGAGGGATCATTTTGTGAATTTATCCGTACTCCCATTACAGATTCTGTAAACAGATGACTTTATAGTATTATTATATTAAAAAGAATCATACATTACAATATGACTAATATATTAAGCCAACATGCTTCTTCTTCTAGAATTATTAAACCAATTAATTAATTAAACCAATATGCTATGCGCAAATAATTTCTCATAAATTAGAGTTTTGAAAAAACGAATCTTTGAGTACAATTTACAATATTACTTTTAACTTACCGCCAACTGAGTCCAAATTGTAAGCTATTAGAAAAGGCCAAATACTAAAAGGGGTTTTGGAGGTTTTGTCATATAATTTGTCTGCAAGTTTATTACTTTGCTGAGCGAAAATATCCACAAAATTCTTAAGAATTTTTGGGCTGAATGTAGGAACTAAAATTTTCCGCCTCCGTCTCCAAATTGAAACTACAAAATTTCGAAACATTTAAAATTTCACTTTGAATAAAATACATATATTATCTTTATATCACTAACCTGGTGCAAATATGCCTCCAAATCCGAGAAGTCTTCTGATAAATCGGTGCAGATCATCTTTTTCTAAACAAGTTTTCAATATCATTTCTATATCTTCAGGGTTTACCACCACTAAAAATTATACAGTGATTTATAGGTTTATCTAATTTTGAATTTAAAAACAAATCTGGATCTCAAACCGGATACTGATAATTTCAATTCACAAAACTGACGGCGTAAAAACCAAGAGAAGTTCTGTTAATTCCTCTTTGATATTATTTGTAGTACTTGGAATATTCAGAGTAGGCAAGTAAGGTCGAGCTGTATTTAGAAAATTATAATTTCAAATAGTAAAGTCTGTTATTGGGTTCTCAATAATTTATAGATATTTTTTAAAGTCCAAAAAGAAGATAGTGAGAAATGTAGAAAAGTAAAACTCCGGTTTCTTACCACATATTAACGATATTTTGATTAAGTAAATAACAAATTATTAAGTAATTATTATTTTATAATTTTTAAGTAATTAAAAAGAAATGGTTATATAATGTTACAACAATATCAAATTATTGAGAAGACAAACTATTTATAAACATTTCAAAACAATTGCCAACGTCCTAGTAAAATTAATTTTAGATCTTATGTATGTAAGTAGTGCTTAACAAATTAATAGCTAATGGAAATCAATTATTATTAAAAGACACCGAGCGTAACAAAGACATATGTATGTATGTAGTAATTTTCATAACAACAAATGTTCTTAATATTTAATAAAACAAAAGGAATATTGTACAACTCAAAATTTTAAATTTCAATTTATTAGCTTTTTAATAGTAATGACTACATATCTACCTATAGTCATATTGTAAGTATAATAGGTTAATACTAAAATTTTATTTACTATGTAAATAACCTACTGCTAGCTTTTTATTAATATATGTATGTAGTAAAATTTTCGAAAAATTGTGATAGGTAAACTTCTTTATTTGTATTTTTATTATAAGTAGTTATTTTGACAGTTCGATAAATTAAGTATGTAGTGCAAATAAACAATTTAAATATAACAAGTTTATAAATTAAATATACTTTATTAAAACGGCTGGCGAAGGAAATTTTAGTTATAATTTTGATTACTTCTAACTTCTAATGATTTTGAATAAAAAATCTACTAACAAAAGGCCACATCAGTTACAACTCATTTCTACAAACGAGACTCATTTTTTATTAGCTTTTTTTTTTCAAATTGTTAAGATCTGAACATACTTACAAATATATAAGATATGATTCAGCCAACCTTTCCCGACTCCAGTTTTTTCCATCATTTCATAACAGAAATCTTGCAAACTGGTCATTGTATCTGTAAATTTAAGGATTTTTTGGCTAAACTATCTTGTTGAGGATTTACAATTCTGAATGTTACTGCATATTTATAAATAATAAAAATCTATAAATATAAATAATTTGCACCGCCATTATCATTTACATGACAATAAATTATTGCACTCGTATGTTAATATACAATAAATATAGATGTGTTTTTGTTATTTCAAATTTGACTTTCATTAAAAAACACCAATAATGTTTTATTGATTAAGTATATTTTTAACTGTACTCACCCTCACTATTGCCTATCAAAAGAGGTATGACACCCAATACAGGGTGTGCCAATTTTGTTCCAGGTAGGAGCGCTGCTAATTCGTATAACCTACGTCTCCTGTACCTAAATACAATAGTAAAAACGAATAAGAATAATAATAATATACCCAATAAGAATAATAAAGTCATGTTGCTTTATCTGCCTTCTGTACATGAATGGATAGACCTAAGCAAATCGTTAAACTTTATATTCATTTACCAGTTTCCTGCTATATTGCGTAACCTGATTTTGCTTATCCAATAGACATGAATGGTCATATGAAATTTGAATAATTTAAAATCTGGCAATTTTATGATTGTCGCATTTTTTATTTTCTTTGGAACTAGGTTGATGTTTGCATATTTAAACAAGGAATGAACCTGTTTACTAGTAGATCGATTGAAATATGTGAATATTTAATTAACAAAAACTAAAATATATATACTAAATACAAATACTAAAAACAACTTACATACATTTTTTATGAATAAATCAATCTAACACACCAGTGTAACTGTCGGCCTCTACTCAGAAAGTAATAAGACTCGAACATTTCGTTCTATGGTCATAACTTTTTTCAATTATTTTTGTTAAATATATATTTTTTTTCTTCTCATAGAAAACTAGTAAAAAAATATGTTCGTTGAGTGAAGGCTCCTTTCAATATTTATTTTCTATCACTCTTCTTTTATTAGAGTTTAAAAAGGGATTTCTCATATTAAGTATTCTAAATTTAAATTGTTTATACTTTTCATAAGTTACAGCCGTTCTGACTGACTAACAGTTGAGTCCTAGTAACACATTATCCGGTTTATTTTTAATTTAAGTTTTCGGCATAAAACATAATAAAAAAAAACCTTTGCAGGTGGTAGAGCATAGCTGTGGTTAAGTAACTACAGCTCGAACATGGGCTGGCTCGACGGGGGAAGTACCACCATCTCACAGAAAACCGGCCTGAAGTAGACATGAAACACTGCGTTTCGTCCGATGAGTGAGAGAGCCGGTTGACCTTTCCCTTTTCCCAGCCTTTGCTGCCGTTTCCTTTTTCCTTCCTTTTCCTTTCCCTCTACCAAAATCATGGTAGGCAACGCATCTAACATTGTTTATGTTGCAGATGTCCATGGGCGACGGTGACTACCTTCCACCAAGTAGGCCGTTTGCTCGTTTGTCGCCTTTGATATATAAAAAAAAAACCCTTTGAGCATTATTAAAATCAAGCTAATTAATAAGATTGTTCTGGATTCTATATAAGAATTTTTATCTTTCTAAAATAACACTTCATTTCGTTTTTATTAAATATATATAAACAAATTAACATTAAAATTAAAACTTTGCTTTAATTCAATGTTACTTATAAAATAATAGGCCACAAATTATTTTAGAAATCATTAGTCTTGTCGACTATCGTCATGATGACGTAAAATAGAAATAATCTGTTGACATTTCGATTGAAAACATTTTTAATCTCTAAATTTTTGAAGTGTTAAAAAAAAAACAAAATTATAATTATAAAAACAAAAGTAAAGACCTAACTTTAAACATAAAACTGGTTTGCCATCTTGTTCAAAACTGTTTATCGACTATTACTTTACAAGTTTTGAAATCACCATAGTAGGTTCCATGTTGATGATTATCGTGATTGTTCTAAAGGCATGGGGTGTGATGTGAGGATATAAAGTTTTATCTGAAAAAAAATTCAAACATTTCGAAGTCAATGAGATATTGAACAAGATAAAGAAAATTTTGCAAGTCTAACGAATGATTATACCTATCTATCCGTTAAATATAACTCAGAATATTAAAATTTTAATAAAATCTTACTTTGTGGTTTAAGATATTTATCCCCATTAAGACATTATTATCACTTACATGAGAATTACACTTGTAACAAAACATTTATGAATATACAGTTCGACATCGCACTTAGCTCAGAGACATTTTTCTATATTAAGCACTAATTTAACGTATTGTATTAGTTTTAATTATTTATTATTAAAATTATAATTTATTATACTCAGCAAGTTCTCTGCTAAATACTAAATAATAATTCACGTTAAATGCGTTTATTATTAATGTTTATTATGTTTATTATGTGGTTTTGCACTTTCAAAGGTGATCATTGTTTTACCGTCATTTGTCCGTTTACGAGTCTTGGGTTGAACGAGAAAACTAGTTCGACATGTGTTACGATTGCCGTTTGACACTTGTTTCTTAAACGTCATATAAGTATGGATATCCTATTTAGTGTTTTTCGAATAAAATTGCAAACGTTGTATACATAAAGATTATTTATGTTCATTATTTGTGTTTCATCGTATATTTTTTAGTATTTGTTAGATAATGGTATTTAAAAAGTAATTTGATAAATTTACTTATGTATGTATTATTTTATGAGACTTTATTTAAATAGGCTTGTTTAAGGACATAAGGCTTATAAAATCTTATAATTAATAAGAAATAGAAAATAAGCAAAATATTGCTCTATGTGTAGGTATTTTAATTAAAAATAGTGAAATATTAAAAAAAAATCATTCTTAAGAACTAACTTGTACGTAAATTTGAAATGCAAACCAAAGCAGTTTTATCTAATACAGGCCATTTAGAAGTGATTTACGTTGGTAAATATAGTGATCACAAATTTTTACCTTATTCAAATAACGTCATTATATTTTATCAAAGTTTCAAAATCTTATGAATATTTAATATATGTTAAAATGAAATATCACGAATGAATCTCTCACCTATGTTCGGAATGTTGTGTCTGATGGTCATTTGTGTTTCTTTTTCCATATTATATTTTTTACTGTATACATAATATTTAATATGAATTCATAACATTATGTGATAATCGACCTCTTATTCCTAATGTAAAAAGGGTTAAGTAGGTTAAAAGAAAAACCAAAAGCTTTCAGACAGCCTTAGTGTATGTAATAGCGTATCATACAAAAATGTAACCAGACTTCATGTTTTTTGCTTTAGAGTGAAGAAGAAAACATGAATAAAGATTTTTCGTTTTTATTTTACATAAAACCAACAGCACGCTCACAGTAAATGCGATGGAATATATAATAGTATATTTCTTTTTTTTTTTCACCTTGTCAACCAAGAGCCTTTTAATTTCAATAGTACTATAATAACACTTACACATAGCTAACCACTTGCACGCTCTCTTATCAAGAACGTAAAGAGAACTATGCTTTACCCATTTCACGCGATACCACGATCAAGAAGGCCAGTTTAAATTATATCGTTTTTGTAATTGCGAATTAATGAGCTTTGATGTTCTATACTTTGTGATTAAATCTATTGCATATTGTTTATGCTTATCATATTATGTAACGAAATAAAATAGTTGAACTAGAACCACGTAATTGTCTTTCATTGATTTTAAATTTGAATAGAACCGTACGCCGGATAGTCGATACTCGACCATAATAAATTGGTT